ACTCTCTCTCTCTCTCTCTCTCTCTCTCTCTCTCTCTCTCTCTCTCTCTCTCTCTCCTAACCTTCCTCCTCATTCAATCTTATTAACTCCTCCCTCCCCATCCTCAGACAGAAGAAATAGAGGGGGGAAAAAAGAGAAGGAAAAAAAAAAAAGTTAGGCTAAGAGTGGTCGCCTCCTCTATCTCTGCCCCTTCTGTTCCTCGTATCTCAAGCCTCTCCATCTCTACATATCCCCTTCTTTCTCACTTCCCCCTCCCCTCCCCCTCGTCTTTTCTCTTTCTCTTGCTTAACTCCAACCTTTTTTAGACAGCCATTGCACCCTCTAAACATTCTGCCCCTATCTCTATTCTCATCTCCCTTCCTCCCCTTTTTTCCTTTATCTCTATCTCTCTTATACCTATCCTTCTATCCCCTTTTCTCCCTCTTTCTCTTCAATCCCCTCCCCTCCCCATTTTTTTCTTGGTATCTCGCTCTGACGAGCTAATGCTTCCAAGGATATCAGAGTTTCTCTTCTTTCGCTTTCTCTCTTCTCTATTCTCCATCAACCCCCCCCCCGCCCTCCCCCGCCCTCTCTCACTAATCTGAGGACTCACATTGCTACGATGAACTGCTGATGCCAAGGATTGTTGATATTCAAGACCTGTCAAATTGTTACTACAACCTCCCCGCTCTCAAGGCAGAAGCATCCCCACAGCTCACCCAGAAACATCTACACAGCTCACCCAGAAACACCTGCACAGCTCAACCAGTAGCATCCCTTCATGTTGTCCAACAGTAGCCCCACAGCACGCCAACCAACAGAATCACACTCCATTTCCCTCTTAACCTCTCACTGCAAAGTGTTTTTTTCTTGTTTCTCTTAGGTTTTCTTTCTGTTTTTTCTAATACCTAGTTTGGGTCGTCTAATTTGTAATCTTCCCCTCTTCCCTGGGGAACTTTTTTTCTTTATCTCTTAATTTCTCCTATTATAACAGTCATGGTTTAGTCTGACCACCCAACTTGTGGGATGCCATCCGTAGTTTAATCATATTGTAATTTTTACCATATGTACAAAAGTTAACATACTTCTCCAAAAAAAAAAACAATCACATTCCTTACTCATCAGCATATATTCCAAAGCGAGCCTAGACATGTTAGAGACAATGACAATAGATGGCTCTCGGGGGTCTGACCACCCAACTTATGGGATCCGCACTTTGCCTTTTTATTTAGAGTTGGCCCTTGGGTTTGGGTAGTATCGAAGGTTCGACCATAGATGCTATGATACAGTTGAATTTGACCCAAAAATCCATATGAAAATACTCCATCATCATCATCATCATTATCAGAGCCTTTTCCCAATTATTTGGGGTAAGGTATATGAATCTCGGTCGGCCATTCTGCTCTATCGAGGACCATACCCTCAATGAGGCCATAAGTCCCCATATTTTTTCTCACTACTTCCAACCATGTCCTTTTGGGCCTCCCCTAATCCATTTTTAGCCTTCCACTTGAACCAACTTGCACCTCCATGACTTCCCAAAATCCTCATGATCATTTCAAGCACATCAACCTCTGATGAATAGAATGATAGACAGGAGCTTACAAGCTAATTTAGACTATGCTAACTAATTCTTCTGAAGTCCAACATAAACCGATGTTGAGCTTAGGTAAACAATTGCCTCTAACAAGTTTATGTGAATAAACAAAGAAATAGCTCAATGGACGAAGAAAAGAAGAGATAAACATGGCTGAATTGATGCAAAAGCTAACTTCAGCGGTTGTGTCAAAAGGCCAAAAAAATACCCCAGAGTTCTTGGACCGTACAGTACACATTTCATCTGGATATGATTCACCAAAACCATAATGAATTTCCTTTCTCAATAACCTATTTTAGTGCAATCTACCAAAGCCTACCAAGGGTATTGAACAAGTTTCTGCTGCAGTACCACCAATTTACCAGGACAGTATCCAGGACACCCAAAAACCTAAATAAACAAGCAAAAAGAATGCTTATTTTATCAATGCAAAAGAAAAATACTAAATAACTAATACGATTGGCCAGGCAACAAGCAATTTCAGCAGAATAGCGAACACAAGAAAGAAAATAAGCCCCAATAAATGAAATGATCAAACTAAAAAAAATGTGGTACACATAAAAACATTTAGAGAGAGAACAGAATGCCTGAAACAGCAAAAAAGAAACCATAAACATCTAAAGAAGATAGCGCAAATGATAATCCTAGTTGAGTGAGAAAAGAAGAATTGACGCAGAAAAATAAATGCTAAAATAGAAGTGCAAAATGCAAACAAGATGGGACAACACAAATTTGAATAGAGAGTTATGTACACTGATATTGTTGAATAGAAGAAACAAAAGTACAACCAAATGCAGTGAACATAAATGTGAATCAAGATAGTAGCAGCAGAGGCAGGCCGTAGTGCAATTGGGGCAAGCATAAATTCCCATTGATGAAAGAAAACTGCACCACAAAAATAGATAAACCAATGCTGAAACTATAATGTAAGTAGAGAGTGAAAGTAATAAGCAGGGGATGAGGGGCATGGTCAAGGTTCAATTAATGAGAGAAATAGAAGTGTTATTTCCATCAAAAGGAGGAAGAGGACGTGGTGCAATTGGGGGGAACATGAATTTGCATAGTGCAAGAGAATTATAGGGGGAAAAAAACAAGATAAAGCAATCACACAAACCAGATGCCGCAAACCGGAAAACCAAAATGTGGGTGGAGAGATTAGTAGGGTCATGGTTCAATTGGGGTCAATATAAATTCGCATGGTCATAGAAATTGATGCCCAAAACAGAGAAAAAAGTAGCATGGTGAAACTGAGGCTAACAATAAATTCGCATAGAAAAACTTACGCCCAAAAGAAAGAAAAGCCACGCAAACAAAGGAAATTGAGCAAACTAAAATGTGGGGCAGACAGAGAGAGAGAGAGCAGTGAGTACCAATGTAGCGGGGCTGGTACGATATGTAGTACCATCAGGCTCAACAGTCCAGCCCGCCTCTCGAGCCAAGGCAGCGAGCACATCATTCATATCGGCTCGAGCAGGCAAAGTGAAGTTCCCATATTGCCTTAGCCCAGCAAGCATACGGGAAGTTATAGCTCGACGATGTCTCTCTCTAAGCTTTGTTCGCTCTTTCTCTTTCTCTCTCTCCTTCCTTCCCTTTGTGCTCAAGCTTGTAACGCCAGCTGCAGTTGCAGCAAATCCTCTGAGCCTTCTCGGAGTCTCATTTTGTGGGGTTTGGATCAGTTGGTTCTGGACTTGGGCTTGAGAAGGAATTTGGACCTGGAGTTGGGGAGGAATTTGTGCCTGGAGATGGTGGTCATTGTTGTGGTCTAGATCTTGCTTCACGCTCATCTCTACGCCTCTGTTGTAGTCCATTTTCTCGCTGTAGAAGTTCTAAACGAAGCTTCCATTACCCCTCTCTCTCTAGAACGGTGCATCCATTACCCTCTCTCTCTCTAAAAGATGCATCCATTACCATGACCCCCCTTCTCTCTTTCTGTGAGCTAGGGTATAATTCGCTTCTCGGTTCTCTCTCTTCCTTCCGTTTTGGCTTACTTCTTTTCTCTTTCTAGGGATAAAAGTCTACCATTTTCTCTCTGAAAGAATGAATTCAGGGCCACTCTCTCTATTCCTCCCCCTCCCTCTAGGGGACATATGACAAATCTCTCTTTCTCTCACTAGATTAAGGTGAACACAGCGGCGGGAGGAGAGAGGAAGAGAGAGCATTTAACAGCGGAGGAGAGTGCAGGAAGGCAGGGCCTCCATATTTCATGATACCACACTTCCGCGTGCCCCTCATATTTCTAAATTGACCAAAACACCTTTATTAGGGGCACCATTTTACCAGAAAAAACCCTTGCTTTGAGCAAAACGAGGGGCGTTTACTCGGCCGAAAGGCAGGTTTCAACGAAAAAACACACTTACATATCATTGTTTTTGTTTCATAAGTGTGGTGTCTAAGGTTGCAACCTTAAACAATCAAAATTTTGCACACTTACATATCATTGTTTTTGTTTCATGAGTGTGGTGTCTAAGGTTGCAACCTTAAACAATCCAATCAAGACGCACTTTCAAAATTTATCATAACATATAATTTTGGTGTAAAAAATTATTAAGATTATTTGAAAATATATTTTTATATCTAATTATAAAATTTAAAACTCCAAAACTAGTTAAAATCAAGTAGATCTATAAAGATATGAAAATCTTGAAAATAGAGTCTAGATAATGTGTTGCAAGATGCACTATTTTTTAGACTCAAAATCTTTTTTTTTTCGTATTCATACATCTTGATGTCGAGATGATCAATTAGAAAGTTTATCAACATTAAGACAATATTTTTTAATAGATTTTTGAGATGCATCTCTAATTCTACATTTTAAGGTTACAACTTTATATAAACTTGTTATTTCTTTTTATATGTAGATTATTTTTTTTGTAATAGCATTTATTGTCGTTATGAAGGGTGTGACTTCATTTACATGAAGTATGACATCACTCACATAGAGCACGCCCATATGGATGATGTCACACCCCTCTTAATAACCAGAAATACCCTTATTTAAATATATTAGATTACAAAAAAAAAGGTATATTACTGTATGAGCACCTTGACATAACGCTTAAATATAAGGTGCACCCTGAAATCTGCTAGAGAATATGAACATGAACATGAGCATGAGCATGTTACTCTCATGCTAAAAAGCCATCCAAATAATTATTTTGACCTCGAATAAATTTGTAAAAAACCAATGCACCTTGTAATATTTATATGCATTATGTACTTTAAAATCTTCAAGTATTGACAGATTTGCATTATTTTTGTTAGCTTTAAATTTCATAGTTTGTGGTAGAAAAGTGATTTTCATAAGGGTTTTCGGTACCAGAACTATATCTTCCAAGAGTGATTGGAGGTGAGCTTTACAGGATTGTTTAAGATGGATCCCTTGTATATTTTGCACCAACTTTAGCAATTTGATCAATGTTGTGTGAAAAAGTACTGTCTTGTAGATGTACGCTTCTGCAACATGATTTAAGAGCAAACCAGATCAATGTAGACACGCATTTTAAATTGACTGCACTCCTAAATACTTGGATCTTAAGATACAGAAAATGAGCCTCAAAACATAGGGAAAAAAAAGCATTAGAACAAACTCTCATACACCCAAGTTCTCATTATTCTACAGTCAACCTAAGCCATTATCTAAACCTGAATATTTCTTAAATATTCCCTGAACCCTGAAACCTTTAGCTTAGGAAGCCCAAGCATCCAAAATAAGGCAAGTTTTACATTGAGTTGAAGAGAAAAATTTCAATTCAGAGATTTGGCAAAGAAATATCATTCGAATCGTGATCCCAAAAAAAATGTGTCAAACATATCTTATTAGCTATCAACAACTCATAGTGAGTCTATGGAATGAGAACTTCTAGTGTTCGCATGTTGCGTCATGCCACATTTCAACCTGTGACTGCCTGCAAACAACCGCCTTGCAATTTCAGATGTATTTTTGTATATAAATAGACCTTTTATTTGACATTTTAGGCATGTAGTAGAGATTATAAATCCTAATTTCCTTAGGAGACTTAGAAACCCTAATTCTCCATGCAATCCATTATCATTGCAGTGTAGAAATCCTCCATACCTCTTCATTTTCACCTATCATGGCCTAAACCTTAGTCTCTTAAGGATCTTCTTAAATCTAAAGTTGGAATAAGCATTTTCTTAAAGAATAAAAAGGGATTCAATCATTCATCTCAATCATATCGAAGCTTGTACTCCGGGTGTCGGGCTGGTGAGCCTAGCAGCCAGTAAGTACCCCTTATTTTGTTTGAGGTTCTCACACATTTTAAGTACCTTTGTATTTTATTTAGTTTAAGGCGATCATGGGGAATCGGTGGGCTTCTAAGTGTATCCTAAGGCTTCTAGGTGTATCCTAAAGGAAAGGCTATGTAGAATGCTCTAAAGCATTGTAGAGAGACTAGATGGTTCTTAGCTATTGGATTTGGACCCAGTGGATAAATCTTGACCGTCGGTTGTAAAGCTTTGAGCCTATATAAGAAGGAAGACCCCTTATTTGTACGAAACCTCTGAAGAGTGATGAATACTTAAACGTTTGTAAACATTCTTATGATCTAGTGGAATTCTAACGATTTCCTATCCAACTTGTGTGTCACTCTCTTATTTGTGGGTTAAGCTAGAGTGTGGTGGTGCCCACTAGTGACTAGCACTTTATGCCTAGTTGGTGTACGGTTATGCGAGGGGGGGGGGGAGATTGGCCATTTAAAGAGAAAATTTTGATGAAAATTACAAATGATCAAGTAGACAACACCTCTTTGGCCAAAAGAACAATTTCTAGGGGTAAAAAAGAAAAGAAAAGCCTAGAAGAGTAGGCAATCTGATTATAGACGACTATAACCTGGAATACCAATGAATTGCTAATTCCTAAAATATCCAAGAAAGTACTTGCCCTTCTCTGATGTAAAGGAGCCTCAAAGCCCACATGATCACATTCAATGAGTCGCCCACCACTAGTGGAGGACCCAGAAGGGGCTCAGATAAAACCTTCAACAACAATAAAAAGGGGCCTTTGCATGGTTGTAAGCTCCAAGTGAATCTCTCTATCCTTAGGCAAACAGGGTCTTGGTCCTTGAAAAGGCCTTGCAACACTAGATGAACCAGGATCTTCAAAGGAACTGCCACCAAATCTCATCTTCACCGGTAGATCACTAACATCATCCAGAAATGGCCTGCCAATTTGGATTTGGATACTCTCTCTCTCTCTCTCTCTCTCTNTCTCTCTCTCTCTCTCTCTCTCTCTCTCTCTACTCTACGTACTCTACGTACTACTACGTACGTACGTACGTACGTACGTAACGTACGTACGT